CAAAAGGTGGAAGAGTAAACAAAAATAGAATTATGCACACAATATTACAGGATAAATAATGCTCTCACTCGCATTGGCTACCTGCGATAAACTAAAAAGGCTTTGTCAATTAGTATCCATCTGTCTCACGACTGTTTCAATATAATTCCGTAGAAAAAGCAACATTGAAATACATCACTGAGCAATATCCACCGATAAAATGCTACGCGTATAACCTAAAATCGAGAAAAGCCAAAGAACTCACCGGTTCCTTGACATCGCCAGCAACCGATAGGCCAACAAACCGAGTGTATGATAAGCCAAGCCTTGTACATGCGCAAATAAGTAAAATAAAACGTTAGAATACTCAAATTTTACATTTATTTTCATCAAATATGCTTGTAAACAACGCATACCTCAAGCACACAAACCTGGAACGACATCACCTAACAAGGAGAAATTAAATATCAAATTAGCCACCACTGTTCCAGCCAATGAAAGACGAGAAAACCTGAGGCGCGGAGAAATTAAACCGTCATAGCCTATACCCTCGCCCTGTGATTTCATAGACATAACTCAGGCTCATACGTGAACGAAAGTTATTATCCTGTAATAGATAGAAATTATGTGGATTGGATCTAGCTTGGAGCATAGCGGAAGAGTTCAAGAGGTTACTTCAACATTGTTTATTCCCCTACACAAAAAATTACCTGTTCGCCCAAAGAGCTAGCCAGAATTAGGGTGGTTTGAACTTAATTAACTTTCTGAGGTGATTCGAAATAGGTATACTACTAATGAACTCCGCCATAAACAAGCGTAGCGGCCTTCCAGTGTTTAGATCATTTCAGCATGAGTAGCGAACATCACAGGCTGATTTGAGTGGCATCTGGCTACTAATTTCGATCAGTCAGTGGCAAGTTACTCAGCTGTTCCACTTCTGTGTACGTTTATAAATTTAACTACTTTTATGAAGAAACTATTAACATGCAAACAACGACTAAGCAACTTAACAGGTGAATGGCCGAGCTCCTTCCTACGACGCCAGAATATTTATGATCACTTCTGTTATAATAGGTCTGCACAACCTAGTGCTAGCACTAATCATATAGCTTAAAAAGGATTTTCACACGCTACCGGCCATCTTGACAAATGATTTTTAGCGTATCACACGTAGAACGTGTGAAATTAACGAAATATTGTAAGACATCTGAAGTCGAGAAAATAGGCGAGAATAAATCGTAGTAATCACCATGCAGAAAAGTTAAAAGCCGTAAGGTTTCAAGTAAAATGAAATGCTGAGATAAAAGTAGATATCGAAAGAACGACAACAGTAGTACAGGATGGAAGAAGATATATTGCGACTGCTTACAATCCTAGTTTAAGTTGCGCGTATGCAATATAACAGATGATATTTACATGTGTGATGAAAACGAATTCGCAGTAAAATCTCTCGAGCTTTTACTTTTTGACTAAAGTAGAAAGGTTTTAGAATGGGATTTATTCACAAGTTGAGTTGGATATTTGAGGCTGAAGGGAACAGCCAGTTGTTGGAATATATTCTCTGATTTAAAGTTAATCATCCTTACCTTGTTGGTCACCGAGATGTATTACCAGTGGTAGTAGGGTAGCAAATCACGCAAGGAATGTTACTGTTCACGACAGTTTAGTGTGGTGATTGACAATTTCTATCTCTGTATTGTTTAAATACTTACTGTTGTTTGTTAATATATTTATTATATGATTTGAATAATAATTCCGCCAAATACAAATTCCTAAATTCAACCCTCTCTGTATTTTTGGTTGAATTCCTGTAATTCGGTCATTGCGAAATACTACTATCACAAATAATTTTAGCATTTAGGTAAGTTATTAATTAAACTCACTCCACTTAGCACGAGGGAGACAGTGTAAAGTGGTGAAAGGTAGATTGGATTGTTAAGACTAAAGAGTGCATTGTTTCAAGCACTAGTTCTGTCGTAGTAACTCGCGGGTAATGCATCAGCTATGGTTACCTGACTGTTCAAATAGCCTTCAGATTTGTCCAATTTAAATATACTGCTTTTCATAGCGTGATTTCAGGTTAATGAACCTTTGCTACCCTATTTTCTTATCGGTAACTATAGGTCAATCAATAAAACGCTGCTTAAATGCATACTCGAGTACATTGTGCTTTGTAGGGATGGTAGAGTTTGATATTAACGACGCAAACACCTCTGCAGTCTCATTAGAGGTGCAATTCAATCTGGGAGTTCGTGCGCTGAATCAATCTAGACAACTAAACACCGCGGTTACTTAACACTGCATCCACAAGCGTCAAGAAAACAGAGAATAATCGTTGTCTGCTCAAGTGTTAGAAAGTGTTTATCACACCTGTGACGCTGCAGCTAGAAAAAAGCTTTTGTCAGCATTCTTCAGTCATAGAAATTATGTGGATTGGATCTAGCTTGGAGCATAGCGGAAGAGTTCAAGATATTACTTCAACAAACGGACATAAGGGATCTCCCATCCTGGATAATAATTGAAGTATTCTTGGAGGACACAAAAACGCTGGGGGATTTGCAATTTACATCTCCAGAGCCTTCATAAAAGAATTCCCGCCACTCCTTGTATAAGCTGTGGGCAATGTAAAACGAAATCGACCGAAACATAGAATCCTATTCTCTTACGTACTCAATAGGTGGAAATCAGTCATCACGTAAGGCTTCTCAGTGATCTGGCAGCCTACGTACCCGACCCACTGACTGTCATTCTCAAGTCGTTCCTCCCGCATAATGTTAATCCATGACTTGAAGTAAGTAGCAGCAACCCCAGTGGGACGTAGGTGACCCTTTAGAAATTCAGAAAAGTGGGATGACCGACCGAGTAGAAACTACAACTTCTTTATGGTTTGTCTTTCTTTATATGATGAGAGATGAATGACCCACAGTTTGTGTGATTACATTTCCCCCCACTTGTAATCTGCCAAGCTTTCGAAGATAAAGTCTCAAAAAACATAATCAGCCCTTTATAAAAATATAAGCTGCGTGATTATTTTGTAAGAAAATTTGGTTTCCAAACCCTTACCTGTAAGGTAGGATCCGGATATTAACCTTCATTTGCAGACCTATTAGCCTTCCCAGCACCTTGACCAAGATACTGGAAAGAATATCCGAGGAAACTAACATAGCGCATTTGGAAAATAACAACACTCAACCTTGCACACAACACACTCTTCAGGGAAACCTATCCTGTTCAACAAATCTTCTAGGTATAAGGGGATACTAGATTAACGCTAAGAATAGAAATAAACATGTACTGTCTCCATAGAATCCTGCAAGGCATTCTACGAACTGCCTCACACAAGACTGATGGTGAAACTGTAAATTTTGGACAAAATGGCAGCCTGCCCGACTGGATCTAGCAATTTTATGTTGGAAGCAGACACCATGAATAGGAACTGATGGTGTGCATCAGAAAGTTGCCTTAGCCCGCAAAATCTCCTCTGATTATTTGTGGAGTCAGCCTCAAAATACTTGGATAGATGGAGACGACAGTGGCACCGTTTTACCGCAAAGGGCTTTTAATCAACAATTTCTTAGGTCAGTCTAAACAGGAGGTTCTTCCCGTTAAAGTAGCCAAATTTGCAATCATGAGCATCAGAACCCAAATGTCAGCAAATGGAATTTGCTTGGAAAAAAATTTTAGTACAAACGCAGACATATTTAGGTGTAACAACAAGTCACGGCTTAAAAATCAGGGCGTGTTATAGCACAGTTGCAGCTTGCAGCTTCGGGCCTTTACGGAAAACACGTCGGGCTTTACTAGAATCATCATTGAGGTCATCATCACTTAATTTGCACTTATAATCAGAATAGAACTAGGAAAATGTCTACAGGGGGCCAGCCCTTGTCAAGAAGGGAACTAATATTCCTAAAGCAGTTCGAAGGGTCACACTTACAGTTCCTCCTTTGAAAAATTTATCGCGCAGAGAACGACTTGACATCTTGATTCACAGAGATCTAAGAGATAACTTTGAAGGTGATCTATCTTCTCTTTTACCTTCCATTTCAGGGAACATAACAGGTTGCTGAACAACCAGGGGGGAGATGTTTATCATCAGAGAAGTGGTTAACCCATCTAGACACCAACTCTTGGAACCAAATCCTCTTCAACTGACTCCTAACGAATAGGCCGGAAAATCACGAATATTTGTTAGAAAATGATCAACATGTGCTTGAGGCTTTCTATCCTCCACTGAAAGTATGAGTTCGCATCTTGCTGTCATATTAGTTCTTTTTACAATTGATGATGCTAACTTCTTATTCTTCGTGGTGTAGATTCGGAAAATTCCTTTTCGATCAGGAAGGATTTATACCTGTTTGCATTTGAAACCCCTGATTCAGTTACCTTACCGATTATGTCGTCACCATATCTCTTCGAATCAACTCAACATCTTGGTATCGATGTTTTTTTATTTTTCTCCCTTTGTTCGAGATTAAACTCTTAATTCAACTTTAGGGGCTGAGGGCGTTGGCGTTCACGTGAAGTACGATATATACTAACGCCAGATCTAATACCCACAAGCAAAACACCAGAATTGATCTTCCAAATTACAGGTTATATTTCGGGACCAAATTGGAGTGGGAGATGATTTCTTAACTAGTTAGGGATCGTGCACAAACGAACGTACCACGACAGTGTAACAAATGGCGTGGTTACTTGACCGTTAGCCTTCAGCTAAACAAGTTGACTTAAACAGTGAGGATCAGCATACGATGTTCAGTGATGATAGCGGTGACTAATAATTTTGGGGAATTACCAACCACTACACAACTGAAAGAATATATACGACTGCAAAACGTCTGAAGATATGTTTGTCGTTAAGATAAATTTCCCCACTGAACTAACATTTGCTCGCCTACCTCTATTAGAAATTATACACTACCATAGACAAAACTGAATGAAGGTAGAATCCAAGGATGATATGCTATGGTAATTTGTGCAATCTGATATTGAAATTATGTGACCTCGTCACTTTCCGAGGGGAGTCTAAATCAAGCGCGAACATGAATCCTGGATTACCATGTGATGATTTCCTTCAGTCGGCAGTAAGCTAGCAGCTAATAGTTAGGCTATATTTAATGACTCGAAATTCATAACTGTTATTCAGAAATTGCTCAATTTATGGAGGAAGTCTGATGATCGCGTGAGATATGAGCTTAATGCTCAGTTACCAACAGTGTCATTTCAAAATAAAGTAGATTGTTCTACTAAATGTGACGAATTCATTGAAAAGGTAAACACTGTCATATTTTTTGTCATTATTATAGATGCTGACAGATCATGAAGGACGCAGTAAAGCTATCAAGGATTGTATCAGATATTCAACTGACAAACTTCAATCATTAAATAGTTCTTATTCTGAAAACAGTGACGATGTGAACAAGAAACAGATAGCACGTGAAATAAAAAAGAAACAGCTCCTGGTAATACATACTTCTTTATATCATGTTTTTATAGTTACGACAATTTCAAAGTGAATTGTTGGAAGAAGAAGTAATTCAAACTGCAGCTTTAAAAGTGATATATGAACGATGTCGTGAACATTCTAGGCATCCAATTTTTGAAAAATTTAAGTGATGATTCCAATTATGTAAAATTTCAACTAGGCTTTTCTTTATAGTAACTTGTTTATTCAATGTACATGTGTGTTTGATTTTCTGTAACAATTTTGCTCACAGCATTTGTACTGAATAACTTGATTCTTTGTATTTTATTTGATTATTACATAAGTAGTTGCGTATTGAGTATCTTGGTATTGTTCTTAATTGTAAGTCGGGACACTTGATTATTCCTGCCTATTGGGGTGTGCATCTGTACCCCGTTAATCAGTTGCTTTTCCGGCGACGTTAAACCACCTCGGTTCTTGACTTTCGAAAACCGCCTGAAGTTGCAGATGGCACAATCAGACCAAATTATTTCTTCTCCACTGGATTTGCATTACGAGTTCTAGGAAAACCGAGTTTATGATTACCGAAAGAACAACCTTGGGTAAGTCTGACAGAGTAACATAGATCCCCGCTTGAATTCCCTCACTGTTGAGAGGTCCTTTCACTTTTTCTAATCGTGGAAATAATTGGGGTTACTAAAACATGCACATCTAGGGAGTTCTGGATGGGATAGATGTTATTCGTGAAGATTCAGATTCCGAATTAAATTAAAGGACAATTAAGAGTATGTACAAATCTCAGAATGTGATCGACAATCATCTTTTTTTAATAATTCTGTGACTTATTGTTCTTTAATTCTGATTAGCTTCTAAAGATCAGGTCAGTCAGTGTGGCTGATATAGTTGAACTCTGTCACTTAATCAGGCTGTAATTACTGTAGGCGAAACGTGAAATCAAAAGAACACGAGAAAAATAGGATCTTGAAACTGACATGTGCAGCTAATAAGGAGATGAGGTTATACGAGGATGCAGTTTGGTTATATATATATATATATATATATCAACCAACGAGTGAATTAGGTACTGAGTACGTGTGATAGCCAGGGCGACAGAAAAGCGAAATTGCTAGTTGGGACTTCTTGAAAATATACTATTTAAATTAAACCTCAAGATATCATGAGACTATTTGGCAGATTTCTCGTACTTCAAATTTTATTATTTTAGTATCCATCTATATCCTTTGAATTTAATTCACTTTTAATGGTTAGAAGGTGCTCGAAAGGTTTTGAAGTCTCTCCCAGTACATCATGACTACGGATAACTCGCCATCGGATTATATTTATTGGCGATATGTTATGACTTCAGTAATGATATCCTCATTCAAGATATCTATACCTTCACAGAAAAATGATAGGGAAAATTCAATGTCTTATGACCAAAGAATCAATACTCCTTTGGATGACTTAACCTATGTCCACCAGTTAGTTTAAACCACGTAGGAAGGTGCAGACTTCCTGTTTGGGGTCCTCGGGACGGTAAAAACCAATTAAAGCTAAAGACAATTGGCGATGTGGCTCAAAATCGTTGTCAATGGCTCAGATGCATCCACTCCTTGTGAATTATGATATCCAATAAAACTATGGTTCTCCAATATTTCTATTCTTTTTGCCTTATATCTCTGTTTACTGCCTCTCTTTTGCATTTCTTTTACTTTCGTCTCTTACTTTGTGTACTAAGTGAAGTGTGGTGACTCGAACTGCTGCACATTAGTGCAAAGTTCTATGTTTAAACCAGTCAGTCAGCCAGTCATGTCCTATAAAACTTTAGGTTTATCATATTTGGAACATAAACTCGGTAGCTTCACATTATAACATCAACGATGTTCCCTGTTTTAGTCATACTTCTGTTTTGATATTCTGTCTACGACATACGCTACTGGTGCCCATAATGTAATAAGTTTTTAAAAATATGAAAATAAACATTATGGCTTAAACCGCATGGCTGACTTTCAACGTAGAACTCTAAACAGAATTACAGCAGTTCAAGTTGTTAAACTCCATGTGTTACACATTGGTAGTGAAGAAAGAAATTCAAAGGAAGTATAGTGAGCAGAAATATATGTTACAAGGAACAGTAGCGTGTAATAAATAAGAGGATGTAATGAATATTGGAGTTCACAAAAAATTGAATGCATCCACACCATTAAGAACCGTTAAGAGCTACATCACCAACAGTATCCAGCCATTAACCCTAAGCATCTTGAGGCCTCCAGGCACGGAATTCTACACCTCTATACTTAGCTGACTGTAATGACCTGTCAGAAACTTCATGGATTGTTGCTGGGTTTTGGTCTAACTAACCCTAACAGTTTTCCAACCTGATCTTAGCTAACATTTTACTTGTCAAGGAACTTGGTGACTCGGCATGGGTAACATTTGTCTCAGTCATCTCCATTGATGTAGCTCCACAATTTCATCGACTGAGATCTCCTCCCTTACACGTAGCAGTCTACTCGGGTTTGAGTCCTGCTCCACCTATTTCAGTTAGCGCAAATGTGTAGCAGTATCACTAGCCTTCATACGATAATTGTGGCTCTTAACCTGGTACATGAAAAATTTATTCCAGGTGATTAAGATTTTAAAAAATCCCAAGTATCACTCACCAATGCAGAACCCTCTGATCATAAAGACTATTCTTCTGTGCTTATTATTTTAATAATGATAATGCATACATTTCAAACAACATTCTTGCATAGTATGAAACTCTTAGTACACAGTACATGGTACTTCATTTTCTCTTCGCATTACATAGTTAGAGGGAAAATAATTGTAGAACCTTCTGTTTTTAATAATTATGACAACAACACATTGATAAAAGCAGCAATGAAAACAATTTTCAAGAGTTGGTTTGTAAGGATTAGATTTGTTTTTTCCAGTTTGACCACGGATTGATATCAGTTGGAATTTCCTAAAGTTCTAGTGAGAAGTCGTGACCAGTGAGATCCATCCAGTCAAATGTGAGGATGGATTTCCCGCCGATGATATTGGTTGGTGGTTGCGCTAAATCACGAATTGGTAGAAGTTAGAATTCATGGGCTGGCCATTGAATCAGGTCCCAGTGGCTGAATGGTATACGAACTTGCCTTGTAACTGGTAGGTCCTGGGTTCGAACCGTTGTGGCGGGTGCGCACTGCCGATGATTCCCAAACTAGGACGTAGGAAACAACTGTCCAGTACTCCCTGGTTTTCAATGGTTCTTCAACTGATTTCAATCCGTGGTCAAACGTGAAAACAACTGTTTATTCACCGTTCGAAAGTAGACTAGTAACACTTCTTCATATTAGTTTGTTTATTAGATATATCACAGTGAGTGAAACAGTATTATTTACTGGATGACAAAGTTTCGAATAAAATTTATTGTTCATAATCATATCAATTATAATCACATGACTTCGAAACTTGGGTTTTATAGTTTTCTTTTTCTCTCCTATTTGTCGTCGTAGGGGTAGTAGAATTTTCCAGATATCTGGGACAGGTGTTGAATCATTCCTATTACACGTGTTTGCAGTTGATTCGATAAACAAAGCTTCCGTTGTCAATCTCCCTCCACCCTGTGACATTAGATTTTAAAACTGTCATCCTGTCCCATCCAGCCTATTGTATGGTTGTGTGTAATTGCATGTGATGTAGTGCTATAGCTGAACTATTCTCTAGATTTCTTATCTTATTCGGGTCAACTAATCTAGATTTTGCTAGGTTTTTATGCTCGGCTAGTCTGACTGTCCCTGTTTTACTACTTTGATCTATGCATTTGACGTCACTGACAATCATTGCCAGAAGGGTATTAGATAAACTAAATTGTTTTGTTTTAAAGGATCCTTTAACTGACAAAGCTTGTTTCTAATTGAGTTTGTGGGGTGTTTGAATGCCACTTTTATTCCTGCCTTGTTAAGAATTCTGCATAAGGTTTCCGAGGTTCCTTCTTTGTATGGAAGTACTACTGTTGATTTAGATTCCTTATTGTTGGTGTTGTCATTATCTTGCGCATGTTTGACATGCATGTCGTCATTAATATTACCATTATTATCACCACTACTACTATCATTATTTATTTTATTTTTACATTTCCCTACATACTTTCTGACTAATTTATCAGTGTAATTACCCTGACTCAACACCTGTCCAGCCGGATATCTGGAAAATTCTACTACCCTTACTATAGGAGAGAACAAAGAAAACTAAAACTCAAGTTTCCAAGTCGTGTGATTATAATTGATGATATGATTATGAACAACAAATTTTGTCTGAAACGTCATCCAGTAAATAATAATACTGTTTCACTGTGTGATATATCTAATAAACAAATTAATATGGAATTACTTACTATCACAGTGCCCAAGTTTTACACATATATAAGTAACACTTCTTTCTTCAGCCGAAATTTTCTCTAAATACGTTGCCCTTGCTTTCAATATATTTATTCCTACAAATGTAGCATTTTTATTATAAAAAAAAGAATTGCTTCTTCTTTTCATCTAAGCAGATGTATGGTAAAAACTGTAACTAAAGATGGTAGGTATTCAGAACCTGATAAAATGACTTCGATTAATTTCTTGCATAACTTCAAATGTTGTCAATCAACGATTTGGCCACTTGGTAGCCTGAAAAGAATATAAGGTAGAATAGTAAAGAAGAATGGGCAAAATGCTGGAGTTAATCAATTGTGAGCTTAGAGACTGAGTAATACTTGAGTATCTTAACTTTCTTACATGCAGTATTAAGCGAGATATTTTTCTAGAAATTGCTAAGATATGCGACAGTTAGAAAAGGTCAGGAGAGAGGCTTAGTCCTAGATACTTCATATTTAGCTTGATCCCTACCCCTTCACAACTTTCTATGTTACAAGAGTCATGAGAAGAGACTAATTAAAATACAGGTTATTTTTCTGCATCAGCGCAACTGAAATTTAGCTTAAGACCCTTTGACAAGGATCACAAGCTAATTTTTGATAAAGAGTTACGTACTGCGTACAGATATGGTGGGTGACAATTACAACCAGTGTGCAATAATCCCAAGTCTCCCTGGAATTTAGTTAGGCAACTTACAACTGTTTATATGGTACTGACCAACAGTTTGTAACTTTATGGATTAGTTCTGTATCGTTGTTTTGTCTATTCTCTGTCTTCTCACAGCTTAATCTCATTTCTAATACCAACAGATTTTTTGATTTTTGATTATAGCTTGATTCCATACCGTATTTTTGGTACAAGTATGAAATTTTCAGCATGTGATATCGGTAGCCCAGGCCGACCATAGATATCAGGTGTGCGTCGGCAGGAGATCGAACTCCGGACCATGTTC